GGAGGTCCCCCCGCGGGACCCTGGGCTGGTGGGACCCTGGTATGGGGGTGTCCGTGTGGGGCGCAGCGCCGGCGGGGCGTCCTGCGTGGGGAGGGATGGGGCAGGCGGGGTGGGGAGGGTGCTGCGCCCGTGTCCCCGCGCGGGACCTAACCCTGGCGTGGGAGCGTCCGTACGGGGTGCAGGGCTGGTGGGGCGTCCCGGGCGGGCTGAGGGGCAGCACCCCTGGGAGGGGTTCGTGCGGCACCCACATCCCCACGGGGGACCCGATCCCCGCGGTGGGGTGTGCAGGTGCCGCCCTGGTGGGACGCGGGGTGGGTGCTGCAGCCCTGTGCCCGCGGGGGACCCCACCCCAGCATGGGGGACAGGGTGCTGTGCCATCGGGTCACCCTGCGGGTGGGGACACGACAGGCGTTAGGGGCAGACCCGCTGCCAGCCAGCCCTTGGGGTTTCGTCCCACTGTGGGGCCAAACTCGCAGTCCCGGGGGCGTCGGGCTGGGGGCGAGGGCGCCTGGGCCGCCCTGCAGCGGCCGCCCCCGCGCTCACGGGGCACCCGTCTTCTCTGTCTCGTTCCCACAGCTTCGTCAAGGCGGTTTTTCTCGGCGTGCTGGCAGCCTGCCCGGCCGCTGCTCCCGCTCCACCAGCCCTTTGTGTCCTGGCGTTTTGGCAGCAGGGTTTTTTCCGTCATTCCCATTCCCAGATGCGGCTGAGTCACCTCCCAAATTCACACCCACGAGCCTCCCCGGGAGCCCGGGCTCCAAGCCCAGCGCGGTGCTGCCTTCTTGGGCACTGCTGCCTCGAGCGCGTGGGGCCTCTGCAGGGCTGCAGGCAGATGGGAGCCTGCGAGGCTGGTGGCGTGGTGGCATCCCCACGTCGGCATGGGGCGTTTGGAGACCTCGGGGGTGTTTGCTTTTTCCCAGGGAGAGCCCGGGGGCTGCGGACATGCTGGCAGGGTCGCAGCGGCAGCCTCGAGCCAGCTCCCACTCCCTCATGGGCTCTTGGGACTGCAGGAAAACCCTTTTGCTGGCATTATTAGTCATCAGGAGCCTTAAAATAGAAAGCGTGTGTGATCCCAGCCCTGAGGAGCTGTCAAGCCTCAACAGGCGCTGCTTAACAACTCCTGCCGCCGCCCTCGCGCCGCGGGGTGGGAAGGATGGTCGGGGAGAGCGCCCGTCCCCCCTCGCCGGGCAGGAGCGCCGCAGGGGGCTGGGGGCTGAGCACCGGGGCAGGGAACTGCCCTGGCTGGGGAGCGCGGTGCCCTCCTGGCTCCCGAGGGACCCGTCCTCGTGACGGGCAATGGCTGGCGCTAACAATAGCGCGTCAGGAAACGCCGCGTTCGGACGGTGCTTCCTTAGCAGCCACGCAGCACCCGTGCTCCCGAGCTGCTTCGCTTTGCTCCGAACGAGAAACGTCCAGGAGACTCAGTGCTGCGTTTCCGAGTGCTCCGGGTCTGCCTTTCGGTTTCGCACCCATCCCAGGCAGATTTTTCTCAGCCTTGGGATACACACTAAGAGCACACGGCTTAGCTGCGCTTGCTGCAGTCGCTGCCCGATGGTTTTGCTTTCAAATTCCTATTTTGTTTGGTTTCCGCTGGGACCGGGTGGGGAGCGTGGAGCTGGGCACGACCCTTTGCAGCCCGGCTGCTCCTTGAGTTTTCCAGCCGAGTGAGAAGGGTCGTTTGCAGGTTGGATGTTGCAGGGGAGGAAAAGAGCAAAACAACTCGCGATTCCCCTTGCACCCTTCACCCGAAGCCTGATAGCAAGGTCACGGGCAGAGAGGGGGCTGTGGGCTGAACTTCGGGAGAGGCTGGGTCCCCTGCACGTCCCTGCTGCCGGGACCGGGGGGCAGATCTCAGCATTTGTCCTTCGTGTCCACAGGCCCAACAAGCCAAATTCCTCAGCGATGTGGAGAACGAGCTGGAGGAGCTGGCAGTCACCATCGCGCAGGCCAAGAAGATGGTGGAGCTCATTAAGGTGACTCTGCGACGGCTCCGCTCCGTTAGTGCAGCTCGGCTGGGCCGGGGAGCAGAGGCGAAGGGGCCGTGAGCTTTTGGGGTGCATGGGGTGTAGAGGTGGTGCTCACAGGGGAGCAAGCGCTCCGTAAAACGATGGTGACCCTGGCAAGGATCCCTGAGGATTCTTGCTCCTCATCTCTGCTAACCCTCGCGGCATCTTTGGTTGCTTTTGTTTGCAACCTGGAAGGAGCACCGGGGCAAGGACCGTGCCAGGGCACCTGCTGGCTCTTGCACCTTCC